TGAATCCTTGAGCTGGAAATGGCACCTGTCTGTGTCTGCTTCTAATTCCCCCTTGCTCCCTGCCTTTTTTTTAAAACTCTCTCTTGAGTCTTTATCAGAACTCTTTCCTACAACTCTGACAGCTTTCTCAGCAGCCTGACCAAGGTTATGCAGCTGAACTGCACCAGAGGTGGACCTTGAATCCTTCAAAAGGCAACTGGACCTCTGGGAAGACAGGAAGGTTACAGGGAGAGGGTACAAGCTTATTCTAGCTGTGTTCTCAAACCAGGGAAGGTACAGGACCATCCTGTGCTCACAATATGAACAAATGTAATTGTTAAGGCTCTCTAGTGTGTAAGCAGGTAGCCAGAACTTTTCATCTGTATCTCCATCCGTACTGGGAAGCTTGGCAAAATGGACTGAGGAAGTTGAAGGGAAGGCAAGAAGGGTATTGTTTGACTCTTCTGTGCTGCTCTGAAATTTTAAGTTTCCTTGAGGAGCCAGGTAAGCACAATGGCCTTTGGGAAATTCCACCTAAGCATCAGCAAGGTCCTTGGTCACTGCTGTCAGGGTGTCACTGCACCAGAAAAAGCAGTTTAGAGGATCACAGCCGCAGCCCAAACAAAGCTGCTTTTGAAGAGGAAGGTGAGAATCTAGCCTTAAATGTCCAGACCGTTGTTTCCTTAATCTTGGCATGGCTTTATCTTTTGACTGTCATTTCCAGCATTTTCTTTGAAAAGGTCAGTCGCGAGATGCAGCTGATGAAGGCTTCATTGCACACTTGCTGCGGTACGACGCTTGACTGGATGCCAGCAGAGAATTTGAGCGTACGACTTCCACGGGGAGGAATGCAGTTTAAGTGCTTGGCCTCTATTTCCTGTGACTTCAGGTGTAGTTAGGGCCAGGTGGTGAGGAAACTAATGTCTTAGATGTGCTCAGATGTCTGTGCATTATTGTGGGCCTGAGTAAAGTCCGGAATGCTTCACTGCAGAGGGGTTTCAGAGTCATTGAGGGCTGTATAGCACAACTAGGGGAGTGTTTTAAAACCTCAGCTTCAAGGTGACATTGTTCTTCCATTTTGAATTCTTTCACGAAGTAGCCTTTTGATCACAGAAAGCGCAAAAGTGTCTTTTTATTTCTTCAACTATTCATAGTGATGGAGAACTGAACAGTTTTAGTTTGAGAGAGAAATTCTTAGTATCTGTTATTTTGCTGACACAGGAAGGTAGTTTTAAATGCTAGTGCCATGTCTCTTGTGTTTCTCTGAAGAGACTGTTTTTGGTCTGTGCCTTCCAGCATCACAGTGGCTGAGACAGTGGTTCTCATGGCCCTGTATGTTAAGGAGCATTTGCTGTTGAAGTTTGGGTGGGTTTTTTTTTAATGTTTTTGGAGGGTTACTTAGCAGGTCCAGTATTATCATATCCTGAATAGATTGCAGCATTTTGTTCTGTTGCTTCTGAAAAAAGTCTTTGGCTGTTTTCTTAGTAAATGTCTAGGATAAAATGATATTACAACCTTTAGACTGTTAACTGAAGAACGTTTCAGGACTTTGGAGAAAGTGTATCAACTTATAGCATGGTCTGTAGCAGCAGATATTGGTTACTGTTGCACACAGGATGTTGGACCTCTGATCTACTTCAGTAAGGCTATTTTTATGTTTTTGATATCCATAATAGAAGATGTTATTTCCTTATTTTGGAGCACTCTTCCTAAAACAAAGTGGGGAAAAAACTTATCCTCAATTTTACTTTAGAATATTGTCCTGGTTTTGCTGGAATAAAATCATGTAACTAGTTTTCTGTTCAGAAAAGCTACATTTCTAAAGTAAACTGCATTTTTAAGACAACTGCAGCGCCCGATTTGGTGAGAATGCAGTTGATAAGACACTGTTTTGTTTTGCAGCCAGCCGTGGTATGCAAGTATCCATAGTGATCAAGGATTTTCAACTTGTTTTTGCTAATGACCCAGATGTCCAAGAAACCGGGGGAGTGTGGCCAGGGTGATGGACACCTGAATTGGCAAATGGATATTCCATACCCTGTAATGTCATGCTCACTGTAAATTGGAAAGTTTGTTGGGGACAGGCTCTCTTTCTTGATGGTCACTGTCCCTGGAAGGTCTCACCTGTTGTTCTGCTCCCAAGGCCGACTCTCTTCTGGGATTGCGGCTTCAGGACTTTCCTGCTCTGGGATCGCCAGCTGGGAACAAGCTGGACATTGGTGAAGGGGTGGTGAGCAGTTGCACTGTATGTCACTTGTCTGTATATATTATTATCATTATTATTTTAAATTTTATTTCATTTCAATTATTAAATAGTTCTTATCTCAACCCATGGGTCTTCCTTTTCCTGATTTCTCCTTCTCGGCTGGAGAGGGGACGCTGGGTAATAGAACTGGCTGGTGTTTAGCCATCAGTACAGGCTGAACGTAGACAATTGGCTTTTTCTACCTTCTGATTCCCAGACCACCATCTCTGACCAGGCTGGTGGTGTGCGAACTCTGACGAGAGGTTTGTAGAAGTGTATGACTTGTGGCAGTGATTCAAGGTACTGGTGTGGGAGCATCCCTGATCACAGCGTGCTGGGGCTGAGTGGGCTACACTGCCTGGAAATCTCGGAGGGAGTGGTAAGAGTTCTTCCCGTTGAAGTTCTGGTTTGCTCCTGAACAAATCCCCTGTGAGATTCCTAATCCGCTGAGTTAAGGTTCAGTTTGCAAACCAGCATGTTTATTATTAAAATGTGCTTTACGAAGATTTTCGTACTTGTTATGGGTGGCTTTGATACTGTTCTCTGTCCAACTACTTTTCAAATTAATGTGCTGAGAGGGTTTTAGTGATGAGAGTTCTGGAGAAGAGCAGAACTGAAAGGCAAGAGATGACTTTGTGGATGTTTCCGTAGTAGTCTGTTTTGAAACTGTCTTGAACAAACTTGGTCAGACATGCGTTTACCATTTAAATATGATTTAGTTTGTTGAGGGAGGAGGGATATTGGGTAAGGAGTTCTGGATGAGAGGCCGGAGTTCTGGGATTGTCGTCTGATTGTCGTCTTTTCTTTATTACAGCTTCTTATGTTTTTGTAATGGAGGAGAGATAGGGGTAATGTTTCTGTAGCTACTGTTTCTCCTTGGCCTGACTTTAGTGTGTACTTAGTTAAAATCATAGAATCATAGAACGGCATAGGCTGGAAGGGACCTTAGAGATTATCTAATCCAACCTCCCTGTCATGGGCAGGGACGTCTCTCAACTAGATCAGGCTACTCAAGACTCGGTCCAACCTGGCCTTGAACCCCTCCAGGGAGGGGGCATCCACAACTTCTCTGGGCAATTTATTCCAAAGTCTTACCACCCTCGTACTGAAGAATTTCTTCCTAAGATCTAATCTAAATCTGTTCTCCTTCAACTTAAACCCATTTCCCCTTGTCCTATCAGTGGACACTCTTGTAAAAAGTCCC